GTAGGAAGTCTGGGAGGCTCGGAATTTCCAACTCGTTCACCTTAGAGTCCTCTTCGCCCAGGCAGAACCACCCAGGAGCCTGGCTTCCCACAGCCTCGGCAGGTACACGGGCTGCTAGGAGCGGAGGCGTGCGCGGTACTTTCCTCCTCGGATTGTGGGAGTTTGCGTTGGGTTCTCTGGCAAAAGGTTTGCGTTTCCTCTCTCAGTGGCAGTTGTGCCTCTGTGGATGAGAACTCTAAGGCAAATCCGAGCTTTCCTATCCTGTGCCCCCCACCCCCATTTCACTGTGTACTGTATCATGAGAGGGTTTGAAGTGACCCCTGCAAGGAGGACCGGAAAACGTTTGTCTCCGTGGTAGCAGGTGACTGATGAACTTGAGCAAATCTGTGGTGATATAACGTACACCTCCTAGCATGACTGGGAGGGTTAAATGAAGAGACTATGTAAAATCCTTAAACATTTTCTTGTAAATACAAGCGTTTACTCCACGTAACCTTTATTTGTATGTGCATGTGGACTTCATTGATGAGGTGGTTTTGTAGCACCTGGTGAGCGTCCCGGCTTTTCCTTAATTGGTTTCTTGACGTGGCCGGCATCCCAGCCTTCCCATTACCACAGATAAATGTAACCTGTGCCTACCTTAAGTGCACGGGCGCATTTGTGCGTTAAAACCCATTTCCCCTTGTTTACTCCAGGATATCATCCCGTCGATTTCCTTCTATACCAGTAAATACATTTTGCTTTCTATTGGGTCATTTCCATCAGCATATGTATTAGTTTCCTAGGGCTGCCTAAAAAAAGTACCACAAACAACAGAAATTTATTCTCTTTGACCTCTGGAGGCTGGAGGCTGAAGGCTGAAAAGTGTTGGCAGTGTTGGTTCCTACTGGAGGCTCTGAGGGAGAATTTGTTCCATGTTTTTCTTTCCTAGCTGCTGGAGGCTGCTGCCAATCGTAGGTGTCCCTTAGTTTGTAGAGTCATTGGGCCAGTCTCTGCCTTCGCATGGTGTTCTGTCCTGTGTGTATCTATTTTTTTCTTCTAATACACCACTCAGGGGGTGGGGACCGCCCTAGTCCAGTTTGAATTCATCTTAACTTGATTACATCTACAAAGACCTTATTCCCAAATAAGGTCACATTCACAGGTTCTGGGGTTAGGACTGGAACATATTTTTGGGGAGAGGACATAATTTAACTTATGACAGTATACAAACTTTTCTCATCAAAAAAAAATCTTCCTCTTGCCCATATTTTACTCCCTTTTGTAGCGCAATTTCTCAGGTGCTTAACATTCATATTCACTGTCTCCACTTCCTCTTGGACAATTCTCTTTTGAACTTAGGTCAATCAGGCATTCACCTCCATCACTCTTGAAATTGTTGCTGTACTTTAGGTCACAAGTGACCTACCTCCATGTTGCTAAATCCGTTGGTTCTTAGTCTTCCTCTTACCTGACCAGCATTTGACAAAGATCATCGCTCAGGCATGAGTTTTTCTCACTGTATTTTCAGTGTATCCCCTCTTGGTTTTACCTTCTGACTCATTGGTCACTCATTCTTAAGTCTTGTTTGCTGGTTCTTCTCTCTCAGACCTGACACTTTTGATGGAATGCCTTTGGCAATATAATTTCGTTGAAATTCTTTTGATGCTTTTTAGTTTTGTAAATTGAATTTTAGTTTCTGTATCACTTACTACATTAACTTTACTTAAAACATTATGCCGCAGTTAATATGAGAAAAATATAAAAAAAAGGAATATTTCCCAACAGGGGACTTTGGCTTATGTTCTATAATGTATATATTTATTATTATTATGAACAGGTTCCAAAAGAGCATTGCATTCTTCCTTCAAAATAAATTTTTAGTGACATGGCATCAAATAATGTTTCCCAATACTTATTTGATTATGATTTAAAAATCATGTTTGGCAACCGTGTTTTTAATTAACTGTGGTGTTTCTAAAACAATAAAGCTGTTGTATAGTTTGTGAATGAAATAAAAATTTTCAGTGTTGTCGTAAGATATTTTTGCTCTATCATTCATGACCAAGTTAAAAAAATGTCTTGACAAGTTGTGCAAAATGTCATAGAATTTTAGTTTTTGAGTATTTTCTCTTTGCTTTGTTTTTCTCATATGTATTTGAGGCATTGTATCCCAGTTATATATACATATATACATGTGTATATATATATATATTATATATTTTTAAGTATTTTTTTGGTAAGCTCTTAAAAATGTGTATGATTCTTCTCCAGCTGTGTCATCTATTGGTTAAGATCCTAATACATGTTCACATATAGAAATATTTGCATTTTGGAAATCCACAATTATATCAATAATTGTTATGTGCCTTCTGTGTTTTACATTAGGGATTGTGTCCAAAATAAGTGAGAAATAATTAGTTTTTAAAAACCTTATTCAAACTGATTTTATTCATAATGTATCCTATAATATTTATTATTTGGTTTATTTTACTTCCTAAATAGTCTATTATTTGGTGTTAATATTTGTATTTTGCAACAATGTGCTAACAGGATGCCACTGACTTTTGCCATGGTTTCGGCTAAATAAAAAAAATACCTATTATCAGGCTCTTAAAATTTATTAGATGACCCTCTCTACACTAGGTACTACTCTAAAAATTTAATCGTGTTTTTTTTTTTTTTTGTTAACAAATGCAGGCCTATATATTCCCATTTTTCATAGGATTGTTAATTTTTTAAATTCTTTAAAATCTGATATTAACTCTTAATACTTACTGATGATATATATTATGCATTTCACTTTATTCATGTTCAAGAATGTGTGATAAATGCTGCTCATCTTTGCATCATTTTTATTCTTCAGCTGAACTCTGCATCCAGAGAGTTTTCAATTTAGACAAGATCTTTCAAGTTAGACAAGATCAATCCTTTGAGGAGAGATGTTATTAAAACCTGGTGGAAATTCAGTTCTTCCTCCTTTTTAGGTTATATACTCTTTCTGAAATCTTTCAGATTTTTCTCTTTGAGGTTCTTACATTTCATTCTGTGTTTGTGTTTTGTTGTTTATCTGTTTACTTTTTGGCATTTTGTGAACACTTTTGATCTATGGTGCCACTGTTCTTAAATCTGAGAAATTTATCTTTATTATTTCTTCAAATATTTCTCTCCTGTCTATATTTTCTTTCTCACTGGATCTTCTATTGTGTGGTTTTTGGCATTTATATAATTCTACATATCTCTTATTTTTCATTTCTATTTTTTTTATCCTTTTCTGCTGCTTTCTGGCAGAACACCTCAGTCTGATCCTCCATTTTCCTAATTTATTCTTCAGCAGTATTAGTCTGTGATCAGTTATGTTGTTTATTATATTTTTCATTTGTAATATTTCTACTCAAGTCTTAAAAAAAAATACCCTGTGTACCTGTTTTCTATTGCTAATATTCTGTGTGTGTGTGTGGGGGGGGGTGTTTGTGTATTTTTGGTTTCTTTTTAAGTTTGTTTGTATGTATGTATGTACGTATGTATTTAAGTAATCTCTACACCCAGCATGGGGCTGGAACTTACAACCCTGAGGTCAAGAGCCACATGCTCTTCTGACTAAACCACCCAGGTGCCCTTGGACTTTTTTTCCCTCCAGTTTGTTGTTTTTCTTTTGCAAAACTTGTATTTTTCAGGGTCAAGTTATTTTCATCTGTGAGCTCATATGCCCTTGGGAGTGTCGCCTACTCTTGTCTGGTAATCTATTATCATAAAATGGTCAAAAGCCAGGCCCCAGTTTATGTCCCTCCCATGGTTTAGGGAAATTATATGTGTGTATTTGTTTCCCAGGACTGTCATTACAAAATACCACAAAGTAAGTGGCTTAAAACAATAATAATTTATTCTCTCATAGTTCAGGAGTCTAGGAATCTAAAATCAAGGTGTTTGGGCGCCTGGGTGGCTCAGTTGGTTGGGCGACTGCCTTTGGCTCAGGTCATGATCCTGGAGTCCCGGGATCGAGTCCCGCATCGGGCTCCCTGCTCGGCAGGGAGTCTGCTTCTCCCTCTGACCCTCCTCCCTCTCATGCTCTCTGTCTCTCATTCTCTCTGTCTCAAATAAATAAAATCGTTAAAAAAAAATAAAATAAAATCAAGGTGTTTGCAGTGCTACGCTCCTTCTAAAGGTTCTAGGGAAGAACTCCCCTTGCTTCTTCCTAGCAAGGATACTGGCAATCTTTTAACATTCCTTAGCTTGTAGTTGCATTGCTCTAGTCTCTGCCTCTGTCATTACATGACCTTTACCCCTGTTTTTCTATGGTGTCTTCACATGATTTCTTTTTTTAAAAAAAATAATTTATTTTAGAGAGAGAGAGAGAGAGAGAGAGAGAGAGTGGTGCTAGAGGGGAAGGGTCAGAGGGAGAGGGAGAGAGTCCCCAGCAGACTCCACGATGAGCGCAAAGCCTGATATGGGGCTCGATCTCATGACCCTGAGATCAGGACCTGAGCCAAAACCAAGAGTCAGATGCTTAACCAACTGCACCACCCAGGTGCCCTTATATGGCTTTCTTATAATGACACTAGCCATTGGATTTAGGGCCCATTGTAATCTAGTATGACCTCATCTTAACTTGTTTACTTCCGCAAAGACTGTATTTTCAAATATGGTCATATTCACAGGTGCCAGGGGTTAGAACTTGAACATATTTTTTTCAGGGACACAGTTCAGCCTACAACAATGAGATATCTAAGTTCAGACAACAGAGAACCAATGCTATTCTATATTAATTTTGTCAGTCTATGAGACAACTCCCATGGTCAAGCATATAGTTTAAAACTCTTTGGGAGGGGTGCCTGGGTGGCTCAGTCGGTTAAGCGGCTGCCTTCGGCTCGGGTCATGATCCCGGGGTCCTGGGATCGAGCCCCACGTTGGGCTCCCTGCTCAGTGGGGAGTCTGCTTCTCCCTCTCCCTCTGCCTGCTTCTCTGCCTACTTGTGCTCTCTATCTCTCTGTCAAATAAATAAATAAAATCTTTAAAAAAAAATAATAAAACTCTTTGGGAAAAGGCATTGTCCTGAGTTTTAATCGGCTTTGGAGGAGTAGAAGAATGAAAGCCTAAGACCTGTCCAGTCTGTACTTTTTATCTCAGTCCAACTTTGGTGTTGCCTTGATATTACTGGGCCTAGGCTATTATTCCTATAGAAATAATGGTAAAGGGCATATATTACCTTAAAAAAATGGGGGAAAGGTAAGAATAAAATTTGAAGTTTCCTAAAGAAATTCTCTCATTCCTGCCACTGTCTCTGTCTCTTCAGCCCCCATCCTAAATGCCCATACATAAATCAGCCTTCAGCCACTTGTAGGGATTTCTCACAGTATTTTTGGTTTGCTTATTTTTTAAATTTTTTGTTGATATTTATTGTTAGGAATGTTATTCTCTCCATTTTGTAATTTCTGTAGAGCTGATTTTGGGACTCACGATCTTCATGGTGATTGATAATCCTGCCATAATGTTTAATCTGAAATCTTAATGTTTTATTCACAGGGAGGAATACAATTTTTTCATCTATAATTTGGAAGCAAAGTAAAATAACAAAATGAAGCCAGCAAAACATCTGTTAGCCTCTAGTAATAAATTGGCAAATGTTCCAGAATTCACTTACAAAAAAGGACTGTTGAATTTACCATTGTCACCTAAACCAAAGAAAAAACATAGTACAAAATTAGTACGTGATAAACTTGAACCAATGGTCTTAGGATCTCCACCAACAGGGGAATCCATCATAAGGTATGCTTTGCCCATTCCATCAAGTAAGACAAAGGAGTTAATAGCAGAAGATGAATTGATCAGGAAAATTACCAAACATCTGAAGATGGTAAGACACTTGTTGGTCCTTGTGTTTGGGGTCCCCATGACCAGTGCCAGGCTTAGTGATTTGTTAGGAAGGTGCACTAGACTCAAAATATAGTCCTGTTGATGGCTAAGATTTATTACGGTGAAAGGGTACAAAGCAAAATCAGCAAAAGGAAAAGGCTTATGGGGTGAAGACTGGAGGAAACTAGGTCCAAGATTCCTCTTCCTTTAAAGTCACACAGGATGTGCTTAATTCCTCCAACAACACATTATGACAACACGTGAAATGTCTGTTGGAGAAGCTCATTAGAGACTCAGTGCCCAGAGTTTTATTGGATACTTTGCCTAGCATGTACCGAAATTCCAGACTCCTGAAGGAAAGCAGATGTTTAGCATAAACCACATTGTGCAGACAGTTTAGGGACAATGAGCCACCGTTACCAGTGAATGATGGGAACACACCTAAAATCCAAGTACTGAGACACCAGTCCAACGCCAGCCTTGAAAGCAGATCTTTCTAACGATAGGCCTTTCTAAGTTTTGTTCCTGCTATGCTAACTCTTCTCAGCACTTTAGAAACTTTCGCTCTTAGTGTTGGGGAAAAAAAAATTTCCTTTTTCTCTGAGTTTCTCTTTGCACAATGATCCAGAATTGAATTGTGGTTGTACCAAATACCAAATGAGAACAATGAGGAGTAGTACAAATATAAAAAGAACATAGTTTGTCAAATTTCCAAAATATAAATTTCCTCAAAGTTTGAGGCGTTAGCTCAGAGAATTTCCTTTATGGCTCTTTGGTTTCCATTTCTGTTTTGCCCACTTCTCTTCAAAGAAGAAAGCTGAGTCAGTCATATTTTGAGGAATACTTTGGTAATAAGTGGAGTTGATGCTTCAACTATTCATAGTCTTTTACATGCCTGTCAACACAGAAATAAGAGTCATAGGGACTTTCTCCATTGCTAGGGAGTAGAGTCAAGGACTGTTTCTCATCATTTCTTTATGGTGATATGAGATGGGGTGTGAGATGGAAAATTTAAGTTTGTGGCACTGGCAGAATTAAGTCTCACTGCTAAGAAGGTCCTGACATGTTTGATTAAATGTCTTTTTACATTTAATATAATAATTTTAAACTATAAAAATACTTAATTTTCTTTGATTCACTCACAGATTGTTTCTACTTTGGAAGAAACCTATGGATTTGGCATTCAAAATGGAGAAAAATCAGTTGTGAAGCCTGAACCTGAGGAATTAACTTTATCGGTAAGTATATGTAACCCTAATGTAGAGACATTAACACTGAAAAGGGTTAAGATTTTCTTTTGGATTCCATTTATATTCTCAGAATGAATTCCCCATCCATGAAAATGACCCAGTTAGGGAACTTGAAAGTAGAGTACTTATTTTTCTATCCTCTGCTTAAAGTTTAATTAAGACATATCTATATTCTAAACCTACTTTTATTGTTAATTCCTATTCTATTTAATTTTTAAACATTTGGTTACTTGTTGGTTTGAGTTGTATATTCCTTATCATGTTAAGAAAGTATTCTTCTATTTCTATTTTGCTAAAAAATAAAACAAAACCAAGAAGTTATTGAGTGTTAGCAAATGTCTGGTATATAGTGAAGTTATGTAACTGTTAAGGTGATTAAGTATGTGGTTCTCCTTTAATCTATCGAGGAGTTGAATTACTTTACACATTTCATAATATTCAACTGTACTTTTAATACTTGTAGAGTATTATTTTTCTAATTACTTTTGTTAGGGATTGAGTTTGGCTCCATGTAATAAAATAGCTATGCTGAGTCTTTCAATTCATGAACATGGTATGTCTCTCCATTTATTTAGATCTTGTTTGATTCTTTTATCACCAAATTATAATTTTCATCATACAGATCCTATACATGGTTTGTTAGATTTATGCATTTATATTTCATGTTTTTTAGAATTATTTTTAATAGCATTGTTTTTAATTTTAGTTTCCACATGTTTGTTACTAGTATATAGAAATATGATTGATTTTTATATGTTTATCTGATATCTTGCAATCTTATTCAATGTACTTTTTTATTCTAGATTTTCTATAGATTTCTTGGAATTTTCTACATAGACAATTATATCATTCTCAGATAGAGACAATTTTACTTCTTCCTGTCCAGTCTGAATGCTTTTTATTTCTTTCTCTTGTGCTGGCTCTGGCTTCCAGCATTATATTTAATAATAGTGATGAGGACAGATATCTTTGACTCATTGTGACTACTACTTCCAGACAGGAATGGAAGTTCAGTTCCCTGCTTAGTTTCACCAGCACCACTCTGGTGGGGGAATTGGAGGGCCAGTTTTCACTGCCATATTATTTTTCAGCCCTACTGACACATATGGGTAGAGGTGCACTTTATTTCTTGGTGTTTGGCTCAGGTAGGATAGGTATTGTCAGAAGGTTTTTGGATTATGCTAGAGATGCCTTTTCACAGTCCTTTGACTTTTCTTTCCTTTCTTCTTTCTTTTTTTTTTTTTTTAAAAGATTTTATTTATTTATTTGAGAGAGAGAGAGCATGAGTAGGGCAGAGGGAGAGGGAGAAGCAGACTCCCTGCTGAGTAGGGAGCCCTTGTGGGGCTCAATCCCAGGACTCTGGGATCATGACCTGAGCTGAAGGTAGATGCTTAACTGACTGAGCCACCCAGGTGCCCTCTTTGGCTTTTCTTAAGGCATTTTTTTTTTTTTTTTTAAGTCTGTGCTTATTGGAAGTTCCAGGTTCCAGTGCTCCCTACATTTTATATGTAGGTAAAAAGAAAACCTAAGGAATTCATGTTCCTCAAGTTTTGAGAACTCTGCCTTTCTCTTACTATGTTTCAATTTTCCTGTATTGGTTTGTTGTGTTGTCTATGGTATTTTAATTGCAGGAGGGAGGATTAGAGGAATGGGCCTAGTCCATCATTGCCAGAACTGAAAGTCCAAAATTATTTTTTTATTTTTGATACAGTTCTGTGTTCGGATGTCTCCTTTATCTTTCTTATGATTAGTCATTGTGTGTTATATCTTTTTTTTTTTATTATGTTATGTTAATCACCATACATCATTAGTTTTTGATGTAGTGTTCCGTGATTCATTGTTTGCATATAACACCCAGTGCTCCATGCAGTATGTGTCCTCCTTAATACCCATCACCAGGATAACACATACCCCCAACCCCCTCCCCTCTAGAACCCTCAGTTCGTTTCTCAAAGTCCATAGTCTCTCATGGTTCGTCTCCTTCTCCGATTTCCCGCCCTTCATTTTTCCCTTCCTGCTATCTTCTTCTTCTTCTTCTTTTAAATATAATGTATTATTTGTTTCAGAGGTACAGGTCTGTGATTCATCAGTCTTACACAATTCACAGCGCTCACCATAGCACATATCCTCCCCAATGTCTGTCACCCAGCCAACCCATCCCTCCTACCCCCCACCACTCCAGCAACCCTCAGTTTGTTTCCTGAGATTAAGAATTCCTCTTATCAGTGAGGTCATATGATATATGTCTTTCTCTGATTGACTTATTTTGCTCAGCATAATACCCTCCAGTTCCATCCATATCATTGAAATGGCAAGATTTCATTCCTTTTGATGGCTGCATAATATTCCATTGTGTATATATACCACATCTTCTTTATCCATTCATCTGTTGATGGACATCTTGGCTCTTTCCATAGTTTGGCTTTTGTGGACATTGCTGCTATAAACATTGGGGTGTACATACCCCTTCGGATCCCTACATTTGTATCTTTGGGGTAAATACCCAGTAGTGCAATTGCTGGATCATAGGGTAGCTCTATTTTCAACTTTTTGAGGAACCTCCATACTGTTTGCCAGAATGGCTGCACCACCTTGCATTCCCACCAACAGTGTAGGAGGGTTCCCCTTTCTCTGCATCCCCACCAACATCTGTCGTTTCCTGACTTGTTAATTTTAGCCATTCTGACTGGTGTGAGGTGGTATCTCGTTGAGGTTTTGATTTGGATTTCCCTGATGCCGAGTGATGTTGAGCACTTTTTCATGTGTCTGTTGGCCATTTGGATGTCTTTTTTGGAAAAATATCTGTTCATGTCTTCTGCCCATTTCTTGATTGGATCATTTGTTCTTTGGGTGTTGAGTTTAAGAAGTTCTTTATAGATTTTGGATACTAGCCCTTTATCTGATATGTCATTTGCAAATATCTTCTCCCATTCTGTCAGTTGTCCCTTGGTTTTGTTGACTGTTTCCTTTGCTGTGCAAAAGCTTTTTATCTTGATGAAGTCCCAATAGTTCATTTTTGCCCTTGCTTCCCTTGCCTTTGGCGATGTTTCTAGGAAGAAGTTGCTGTGGCTGAGGTTGAAGAGGTTGCTGTCTGTGTTCTCCTTTAGGATTTTGGTGGACTCCTGTCTCACATGGAGGTCTTTCAACCATTTGGAGTCTATTTTTGTGTGTGGTGTAAGGAAATGGTCCAGTTTCATTCTTCTGCATGTGGCTGTCCAATTTTCCCAACACCATTTGTTGAAGAGACTGTCTTTTTTCCATTGGACATTCTTCCCTGCTTTGTCGAAGATTAGTTGACCATAGAGTTGAGGGCCTATTTCTGGGCTCTCTATTCTGTTCCATTGATCTATATGTCTATTTTGGTGCCAGTACCATACTGTCTTAATGTTGACAGTGTTGTCATAGAGCTTGAAGTCCGGAATTGTGATGCCGCCAGCTTTTCTTTTCTTTTTCAACATTCCTCTGGGCTATTCAGGGTCTTTTCTGGTTCCATACAAATTTTAGGATTATTTGCTCCATTTCCTTGAAAAAAGTTGATGGTATTATTTTATTTATTTATTTATTTATTTATTTATTTATTTAATCTAATTTTTTATTATGTTATGTTAATCACCATACATTACATCATTAGTTTTTGATGTAGTGTTCCATGATTCACTGTTTGTGTATAACACACAGTGCTCCATGCAGAACGTGCCCTCTTTAATAGCCATCACCAGGCTAACTCATCCTCCCACCTCCCTCCCCTCTAGAACCCTCAGTTTGTTTTTCAGAGTCCATAGTCTCTCATGGTAAAAGTTGATGGTATTGTGATAGGGATTGCATTGAATGTGTAGATTGCTCTAGGTAGCATTGACATCTTCACAATATTTGTTCTTCCAATCCATGAGCATGGAACGTTTTTCCATTTCTTTGTGTCTTCCTCAATTTCTTTCATGAGTATTTTATAGTTTTCTGAGTACAGATCCTTTGCCTCTTTGGTTAGATTTATTCCTAGGTATCTTATGGTTTTGGGTGCAATTGTAAATGGGATCGACTCTTTAATTTCTCTTTCTTCTGTCTTATTGTTGGTATATAGGAATGCCACAGAATTGTGTGCATTGATTTTATATCCTGCCACTTTGCTGAATTCCTGTATGAGTTCTAGCAGTTTTGGGGTGGAGTCTTTTGGGTTTTCCACATAAAGTATCATGTCATCTGCAAACAGTGAGAGTTTGACTTCTTCTTGCCTATTTGGATGCCCTTTATTTCTTTTTGTTGTCTGATTGCTGTGGTTAGGACTTCTAGTACTGTGTTGAATAGCAGTGGTGATAGTGGACATCCCTGCCGTGTTCCTGACCTTAGGGGGAAAGCTCTCAGTTTTTCCCCATTGAGAATGATATTCGCTGTGGGTTTTTCATAGATGGCTTTTATGATATTGAGGTATGTACCCCCTATCCCTATACTCTGAAGAGTTTTGATCAAGAAAGGATGCTGTACTTTGTCAAATGCTTTTTCTGCATCTATTGAGAGGATCATATGGTTCTTGTTCTTTCTTTTATTAATATATTGTATCACACTGATTGATTTGCGGATGTTGAACCAACCTTGCAGCGCAGGGATAAATCCCACTTGGTCGTGGTGAATAATCCTTTTAATGTACTGTTGGATCCTATTGGCTAGTATATTGGTGAGAATTTTTGCATCCATGTTCATCAAGGATATTGGTCTGTAATTCTCCTTTTTGATGAGGTCTTTGTCTAGTTTGGGGATCAAGGTAATGGTGGCCTCATAAAACGAGTTTGGAAGTTTTCCATCCATTTCTATTTTTTGGAAGAGTTTCAGAAGAGTAAGTATTAATTCTTCCTTAAATGTTTGGTAGAATTCCCCTGGGAAGCCATCTGGCCCTGGGCTTTTGTTTGTTGGGAGATTTTTGATGACTGCTTCAATTTCCTTAGTGGTTATAGGTCTGTTCAGGTTTTCTATTTCTTCCTGGTTCAGTTTTGGTA